GCCCGCGCCGCGCGGCGGCGGCGGCGGGCCCGGCGGCGAGCAGGAGACGCAGGAGCTGGCCTCGAAGCGACTGGACATCCAGAACAAGCGCTTCTACCTGGACGTGAAGCAGAACGCCAAGGGCCGCTTCCTCAAGATCGCCGAGGTGGGCGCGGGCGGCTCCAAGAGCCGCCTCACGCTGTCGATGGCGGTGGCCGCCGAGTTCCGCGACTCGCTGGGCGACTTCATCGAGCACTACGCGCAGCTGGGTCCCAGCAGCCCGGAGCAGCTGGCGGCGGGAGCCGAGGAGGGCGGCGGGCCGCGCCGCGCGCTCAAGAGCGAGTTCCTGGTGCGCGAGAACCGCAAGTACTACCTGGACCTCAAGGAGAACCAGCGCGGCCGCTTCCTGCGCATCCGTCAGACGGTGAACCGCGGCGGCGGCGGCTTCGGCGGCGGGCCCGGGCCCGGCGGCCTGCAGAGCGGCCAGACCATCGCGCTGCCCGCGCAGGGTCTCATCGAGTTCCGCGACGCGCTGGCCAAGCTCATCGACGACTACGGGGGCGAGGATGACGAGCTGGCCGGCGGCCCCGGAGGCGGCGCCGGCGGCCCCGGGGGCGGCCTGTACGGAGAGCTCCCGGAGGGCACCTCCATCACGGTGGACTCCAAACGCTTCTTCTTCGACGTCGGCTGCAACAAGTACGGCGTGTTCCTGCGAGTGAGCGAGGTGAAGCCGTCCTACCGCAATGCCATCACCGTGCCCTTCAAGGCCTGGGGCAAGTTTGGAGGCGCCTTCTGTCGGTATGCGGATGAGATGAAAGAAATCCAGGAACGACAGAGGGATAAGCTTTACGAGCGACGCGGCGGGGGCAGCGGCGGCGGCGACGAGTCCGAGGGTGAGGAAGTGGATGAGGATTGAAACGGGCAGCTTCCCGTGCTGGCCTCCCCCACCCCACCACCATCCCCTTGGCTAGAAGAGTTCCCTTTCCTACTCGTCCCCAGTGAGCTAGTGGAGAGGGATCAGGGGAGGCCGCAGACGGAGACAACAAAATTTAAGATAATATAGTTAAGAGAAATAACCATAAGAAAACAGTCACAGACAATTAGAGAAAAGCAGTCAAGTTCCAAGGAACTGCCAGCAACCTGCGAAGAGGACAGCAGCATCTCCTCACCTGCGCGAGAGTCTCAGCTTCTGTTTAAAACCGAGGATCGGAAATTCATCAGGATAACACTGGAGGGGAACAGGTCTTAGAACGTCTGAGTTACCCGGACTCGTCCATTGATAACAGTTGAATTTGTGTTGTACCTGGGTCATCTGGTCTTAGGATCCTTCCGGGCCTCCCTCCACCGCCATCGAAATCAGCATTTTGGATCTAGGTCCTAATGTCATCTTTGAGAAGAAAGAGGCCTTTGCAGTCACCCAATTCCGAGGGTACAGGTTTATGAAAAGGAATGCGAATTGACACAATCATGGACAGGGCAAGGTAAGAAGTCAAGAAGCCATCGGAGAATTAAAAATCAATTGGATCCATTTTTTTAAAAATGGTTTTGCATGGAACCTGGACCAAGGACCCTGTCTTTTCTTTGCAGAATTGTTTTCCGGGATGCAGATGAATTCAGATATCAAAGCTTGAACCAGAATCCATTACTAAAATAGTTTAAAAGTTGGCAATTTTTTTTTTTTCAAAAAACGAAAGCAATTTTACAATGGGGATTGCTGAGGTAGGCACAAGAAGTCAGGCATAAAGCACAAGACAGAGTGTTTGAGTGGGTTGGTTGCTGCTCACTAAAGTTCTTCCCTTGATCTCTTAAGTATGGAGGTCATTACCAAGCAATGGCTTACCATGAGTGAGAGCTGGATCCCTATGGCTCCACCCTATGAGCTAGTGAATTATGGCTAATTCGGCTGTTACAGCCACTGGCTGGCTGCATTTGAAACTTAAAACTTGACGGTCTGCAAAAAGGGACAGTGTGGCTACAAGCCTGAGCTTTAATGGCATATACATCCTCACAGAGAAGTTGGAAACAACCGGAACTGAAGTCTTAACTTATCTTCAGTGTAATCTGTGGATTTACTGAAATACTGACCATCCTCAGGTCCAGAATTCCAGCATCATTTATTCTTTTGAAATAAATTTTTAAGAACTTGATCCATTGTATTCAGTACCTCACAATCAGCGTTGGCAAATGATGGATGAATGATTCAAGCATTGCACCCGGTGGAAGCTGAAATCCATCTGTGAATGGAACTGAAGGGAACGTGAATGCTGACTCTATCCTGGAAGCATTTTTATACCATCTTGAAATTTCAACAAACTGGCGTTTGCCAGTTTATCCAGCTGTCTTTCAAGAATAAAAGTTGGGGTTTTCAAGGATCGCCTCTTCTATATTTTAAATGGATTTTCAGTATAAATGATTTTTCTAATCGAGTTAATCCCACCCCATCAAAAGGTATTCCTAGAAAATGTCATAGACCTAGGCAACTTTGAATTGAATGGGAGCTAATGTTCTTTCCAAAGTTTTTCAGGTATTTGTGTGACACCCTCTCAAGAACCAGGAGGCAAGTAACCCCACCTCCACAATCTTAGTATTTCTTTTTAACTGCATGCCTGCCCTTTATTTGAGCTGCCTTTTTAATTTATTGCATATCCTTTTTATTATCTTATTTTGGTATTCAATCTATACAATCTTTTTGTATTTATTGGGAAATAAGTAATATACAAAAAGGTCATTTTCGTGTCTGTGGCTGAGAGGGAAGGAAATATTTGTGTATATAAAATTAGGCTTTGAAAAAAATTAGACTGATTCAGAATATTGTTGATCTTAGACTTAAAAATGGAGGAGCCACAAACATTGGTGCCCTTACAGACTATTTCTCTACTCTCATCATCCACAGTAGAATTTTTAAACAGATTTTTTTAAAGCTTTTCTTTCAAATTTTTCTCCGTTGCAAAGAATGTTTCCTAAATTGTATGGGAGCAATAGTATTTTTGATGTTCTAATGGCATCTGTATACTTGTACTGTATTTTGTACTACAAGGCAGCTGTTTTCAATAATGTCCTGCTGTATTTACCTATGTGTTTTGAGTGTTTGTTTCTTTGCTGCGGAGAACAAATTCCTCCTTTTAGTAAAGGAGCTGAGAAGCTAGCATTAGGTTTGCAGAAACTGTTTCTAGTTTCAAACTCTGAGGCAGCAATGAAAATTAAGGTTGCAGCTCTTCGTTGATTGCTGTAACGTTTTCATTTCCAATCATGTACAATTCCTGTATAGACCAACTTGTTTTCTTGCTTCAGTGGTGGTTCTGTTGCTCAGCTGCAGTGAGCCAGTTCAATTTTGCAAAGGTGCAGTACCTCTCCTTTTCAAGGGGTTGGTTTTTGTTTTTTGTTTTTCTTTTTTCTTTTTATTTGGCTGAATTGCAGTAACTAGCCTTGCCTTTCTATTCTGTAGAAATGACAGGGTCTTCACAATCCTTCACCAGTGGCTACTAAGCTATAATTAGCTGAATAGAAAGAATGTGGAAGTGGTCTGAGGCATATAGAGTATATGCCAAGAACACTACCATATATGGCATCAGCTTTGGTTACCAGAGAAATTTTCTTAGTCATTAGACCATATAACAGTAATATATCATATGTAAATCTTTAGATATCAATTTGAAAATCCTCCAAAAAAAGGAGCAAAGAATGCATAAGCTATGTGTTGGCAAAAGTAATTTATATTAAAATTTTGACCTGCCTTTGTAAGATTAAGTGGTAAATGTCATAGTGGTGGGTTTTTAAGTCTTAACCAATCTCTAAGGTTTATTTCTCCTGCAGGGGTGGTTCATGGCCTCTCTTCCCACTGTAGGAAGATAGCAGAAGGATGGGGATTAACTGTAGCATTTCACTGATCCTCATTCCAGGGACTAGGGACAATAGAAATCTGCAAGTGTGAGAGTCAGCTCATATATTAGTTTTTTGAAGGCGTTGGTTTTTGTTAACCCCTGTCAGAAAATGGCCTTGTACAAATTATGAGAAGTACCAACTTTTCTGTTTTGTTTTTGAAGTGCTACTATGAATGGTTTAGAGGTTTTTTTTCTTTTAAATTTGGCAGATATCCCAGCTAATGAAAATAGTCACATTCCCAAGAAGTTGGGGCAAGAACTCCATTTCAAATATTGTTGATATGTTTGTTTCTCAGGCTACTGTATACAAAAATGTGTCTTTAAGAAAATCAAAGAGAAGAAAAAAATTCTATGCAGAGACCCTACTACTTCTTAATGGTTTCTATTGTCCCTACACATCATTTCAGCAAGTCTAACAGCAGTTCTTGTCAGCAAATTCTTCAGTGCATATGCTGCACAAAACAAAACATAAATCTGCACAGCACCAAAAATCAAACAAAAAACCAAAAACCCAGACACCCTATGTATCTGTTGGAGGCATGTAGGTGGTACAAATGGCTGTAGCTGTGAAGCACACATGGCTACTGTCATGTCACTTTCCATAATTATTTACTGCAAAATGATTGAGGGGCTTTTGGTTCAGGCAGCCTCCTGCTTCCTTTGTTACCTCGGGATCACTTTGCAGTAAATTGCAGGTCTTTTAAAAGATTCAAGCTTCGGTTTTCTCAAAACAAAACAATTATCCTGTCTTACCTGAAAATGCAGGGTTGTGGGCAAAAGAGGCTGGTTATAATAATGCCCTCATATTGAGTGGTCTGTAAATGGCTGCACACTTCAGGCACTAGAGTTGCTGAGGATGCTTTGTTAATGTGATCTCGACTGGCTTTACAGGGGTATAGAACAGTCT